TAACATCTCCCTGGGGCCCTCCACCCCTCCCCTCCCCTGATGTAATAACAAAAAATGTCTCTAGACATTGCTAAATATCTCCTGGGGGCAAAATCATTCAGGGCTGAGAGCCACTAAGTTGGAGCCAGAAGAGTGAAACCATTTTAAAAATTAGCTGGGTGTGGTGGTGCATGTCTATAGTTCCAGCCATTCAGGATTCCTTGAGCCCAGGAGTTTGAGGGTAGCCTGGGCAACAGATCTGTATGCTGTACAGAGACCCTGTCAAAAGAAAAAAGGAAAGAAATAAAGAAAAAAGAAAAGAAAGAAAGAAAGGAAGAAAAAAGAAAAAATGATCTAATCTTGAGATGTGAAGGAGACATCTCACTGCGCAGAAACATAAAGAATTTAAAACTGGATCTTGGAGAAATTTTAGTAGTAATTACAATTATATTTAAACAACTGTTGGTAATAATTATTAGTTGAATGTATATTTTCTTTGCTAGATTGTAAGATGCACAAGACAGAGACTGTGCCTCTTATTTTTATAGTCAGATCATAATCTGAAGTAGTCAACAGGGATTTGTTGCATTGCTATGGGTCTAGCAATGGGCTACGTGCTTTTGAGGCAGGATAGGTAGTCAAGGAAGTGACCATGTTGTTGGGATGCAGTGACCATGGTGACCATACAATCAACACAGGCCTCAGCATTCACATTATAATTGAGTTCTCTCAAGTGAAGCTATCAGTAGTGAGGACTTTTCCTTCTAGACAGCATGTGCATTTTGATTTTACCTGTCCTCAAACTGACCCTCTGCTAATTTTAATAGTAAAAAATAGACTCCTGTGTGGAGATTTAAGATGTGAATGAGACATGTGATGCATGAACAAGCATGTGCGGCTACTGTGCACGTGCAACCAGAGGACCACCCAGAACATGCCTGCTAGTAATGCCCTCTTGCCACCTTCTTATGAATTATCATGTAAAATTCCCATAAAGGGAGTCTCTCTAGTACCAGTCTTTGCTCTCTCATCCTTACGGGGAGCCCACCCTGAATCCTCTCTCTTTTAGGGTGTCCTGTCTATTCTGTACCTACCTTTTAAAATATTCTTTTTGTTTTGTAATAAATTACTCTATGCTGCACTTTCTTTGCTAGGTGCTCTTATTTAAACTCTTAAACGAAGAAGACAAGAGCTGAGGTCTCACAGCAACCATCAACACTTTGGAAATAAAAGTGAGGATTTAGAACTGTGTTTTTAAATTACTTCATGGCGTATTCTCTAATTGTTTAATATACAATAGTTCTTTTCTGTGCTACTAGATAATAAAATCTGTAGTACTAAAAAGCATGTTCTTTTTCAAGGAAGGCAGAAAAGAGTATGAAGTAGAGGAAGTAGAAGAGGAAGTAGAATTCGAGTTGATTCTTGATGAATAAACTGGTTTTCAGTGGGTGAAAGAAAAAAATGAATGAGGGATTCCAGATATGGTGAACAGCATAAGCAGAGCTATAGAGCTAGGAATGAAAATCATTTTGGTGTTGAGAGAGCAAGCAACTATTTTTTTCTTGAGTGTTTACTCAATGTGTCAGTTACTCTGTTAACTGACACACACACACACATATATATAATTTAACATATAGGACTCAGGTAATGAAGACATGAAAGTCTTAGAAGAATCATTTTAATAGACTTGACTCAAATGAGGGTGGGGCAGTATGAGTAAAAATCAATCCAAGATATTGTCTCAGAGCCTGGAAGAGTGGTTCCATGGATGGCATGGTTACTTGGAAAAGCAGTCAAAATGTATTGGTAATAGGAATTTCCTTTGGGCATTTTTGAGCTAAAAAGGGGCCTTCAATGTTGTATTTGAGTCTGGCAACAAAAAAACCAAAAAAGATGTTTATCTAATAGGAAATGTGAGATCAGAATCCCTGTGAGAGGACACAGGTAAAGGTATAAGTTTGGAAATCATCTGTCAGGGGAGTGGATGAGATGGCTACATGGGTAAATCAAGAGAAGAGCTGCTTGCCAAAATGAGAACCTTGGCAGACATTACCCATTAGAACACCCGACAACAAAGAGAAGACAAAGAAGAAGAAATCAGAGAGGAAGGGGGAGAATCAGGAAAGCACAGGGCTGAAAAATATTTAGAAAGCAAATGATATATGATCGTTAGGATTTCCTACCACTCTGAGATATAAAAAGAGGCAAAATCAATTTGGGGAATTCTTCAAGTCAAGAAGCCTGGATATCTTCATTCAGAGAATGGAAGAGCTCAGCCTCACCTTTCAATTCTCATTGGATCCAAAACATCATGAGAGTGGGGTGGATAAGTTACTCTGCAGCTTTTATTTCTATCTGTGGCTATGATCTGGGTTGTTTACACTTTGTAAATAATGTGACAGAAATATAATTAAATTATTTTTTTTAAAAAGGGAATTGCTATAGAAGAGCAAGTGTGGAAGGTTAAGAACCACAATGGAATCCAACGTGGATTAGTAATGAAGTTCTTTAAACTTGTCCAGCATGACAATGATCTAGAGCAACAGAAATGTCTTCTTGGATTTATTCCATGTGAGCTAACTTGGCCTCCATGCTCCTATTCACAAATTATTTCACTATTTATTTCACAAATAGAAATAAAAGCTGCAGAGTAACTTATCCACCCCACTCTCATGATGTTTTGGATCCAATGAGAATTGAAAGATGAGGCTGAGCTCCTCCATTCTTTGAATGAAGATATCTAGGTTTCTTGACTAGAAGAATTCCCCAAACTGATTTTGCCTCTTTTTATATCTCAGAGTGGTAGGAAATCCTAATGATCATATATCAGTTGCTTTCTAAATATTTTTCAGCCCTGTACTTTCCTGGTTCCATTGTTCCTAGAAAATAACACTCACTGTCCTTGCACTTGCTGTCTCATCTACTCAGGAGGCTTTTCCTCCCAGTATCTACAATGTGCTAAAGTTGGTAATTCTTACTACTACTGTTGCTGCTGCTACTACTACTACTAGTAGTAATAATGATTTTGATAATCACTTCTATTTCTTGAGTATTTACTATATTAAAGGCACTTTGAAACATAGTAAGTGAAAGTAGACACAAACACTTTAGTTTCTAAAAAGAAGTAAAATATTACATATATTATATCTTCTTATGTAGGTACTACTTTTAATCCTGTTTCATGAAGGGGTCACTGAGACTTGGGGGAGGGTTAAGAATCTGCTGGTAAGTGGCATATTTGCTCTTTGAACCGAGGTCTATCTGATACCACAACCCGTGGGATCAACTGTCAGCTAATGCCTACTTAGCTTATAGAAATTTGGTTTTGCCAGTGGTCTCTACTGCATTCTGCAAGTCTTTTCCTTCCCT